AGCCCCAGGCTGCCGTGGATCCATGTTTAAAATTGTACTTGAACTTTTTTTTTTTTTCTTTTATAGGACTGACAAAAGGACACAGACAGACAAGAACAAGAACAAGGACAAGAACAAGGACAAGGACAAGGACAAGGTGGTGGTGGAGTTTTACCCAGGCTGGTGCCACTTAGTGCCTCCACTCAATTTTCATTTCTCTCCAGCGACTCGGTCAGGAAACAAGAACACAGTTCCGAGTATAAACCGTGTGAAACCTGCTGATGAATCAGGCTAATGGAGTTTAATAAACAGGCCAAAAACTTGACTCTGCTGACTCTGGAATACAGTAGCTAGTGTGTGTGTGTGTGTGTGTGTGTGTGTGTGTGTGTGTGTGTGTGTGTGTGTGTGTGTGTGTGTGTGTGTGTGTATGTGTGTGTGTGTGTGTGTGTGCCTGTGTGTGTGTGTGTAACAAACAAGAGTCACAAATGTAAGTGTGTGTTGAGGAGAGAAACATTTGTGACATGTTTAAACATTCGTGTTGTTTGGGATGAATGTTTTGTGTGTTTTTCCTTTTGAAGCAAATGAACAGAGCATGGATCAGAGAGAGCACAGAGAGGACGGAGCCCCTCCCTCTAAAACCACTCACCCCCCCAAAGCTCAGAGGTAAGGGACCATCTCTAACGCTCCACCACTGTTCTCCATGTCAGAGCTCAGACTAAAGCCACTGCTCCATCTGTGTCCACAGACCTGCTCCTGGGACCAGCGCCCACTCATTCAACAGTGATCGCTCTAATGATGGAGGGATTGATTTGAAAAGAGAACATGGTCCACAGTAAGTCACACTCACAACACCTTATAACGTCACCACTTTATGTCAACAAACATTTGGATATAATGTGGGTGACGTGGTTTGAATGAAATAAAAACATGTCCAGGAGTGGTCCACAGTTCACAGAGAATCACATTCAAATCAGAATGATACACACAAGTCTGTTCTTTGTTCCATCATTCAAACTTTAAAAATATCTAAACTGGATGTGTTTGTTGTTGAATGTGCCGTACTGAAGCGTCTGTGGTGAAAGCCTCATGAACACTTTGTAGAACCTCCTGAAGTATCTGACCTGAGTCACAACAGTCCCATGTGTTTTACTGTGACTGAAGTGTGTTTTCTTCTGTGTCTCAGGATCCAGCAGAAACATCCTCCGTCTGAACCTGGTCCCAGCTGTGAGTCCCTCAGGAGTGACACGTCTATGGACTTCCATGTAATTTTGCCAAGGAGCTGTGAGTTTTCAAAAGCATTGATCATAAGAACAATATATAAATAATAAATAATAATGATGCATGTTTGATGTGTGTCTGTGACAGAGGGAGCTGCCGGCCGGGTCCAGAGGTCTCCAGTGGTCAGCACCATCACACACAGCTGGACTCCATATTTAAGGTGTGTCATTCACTAAAGTTTGGAAATGTTCAGATGAATGAAGCTTGTTTCACACAGATCTGACACTGACTGCATTTGTGTTGTTTATAATGTGTCTGTTCAGCTTCTGGAGGAGGACATCTTCACTTTTGTCCAGAAGGAGCTGAAGAAGCTCCACAAGGTTCTGAGTACAGATGAGAGGAAAGACGAACACGCTGGGTGAAAGTCAGGATATGTGGAGTGAGTTGAGAAAAAGGGCTGAAACTCCGCCTCCTATTCCCTACAGGAATAGCCGAGAGAGAGAGAAGGACCCAAGGCTGCTTACCCCTAGCGCGCCGGCCCCAAGTGCGCACGAATCAGACACGGAGTTCGTGCAAATACCCATGCCTAAACCTAAGCCAGTACTTAGAAGATGGCCGGCGGCATCCCGCTTAGCGCCCAGAACAGCTGCACCCGCCAGACCCGCCCCTACACCGAACAACATAGTGACACAACGCACTTATCCCCAAGGACGAGTCTTCTTTTCTAACAGCACAGTAGGGCAGTTGCTCAAAATTGACAAGAAAATAACACATGGTTTAATCACGTGTATACAAGGGTTTCCCGGGGCAATTCCGTACCAGCACTTATATTACAGAAATGAATAGTCGAGATGCAGCAGAAATTGAAGAGGGGTGTAGAAATGCTAGAAAAAATAAGATTCCGGTGCAGTCGTACAGAGTCAGTGTGGGAGGGCCGCAGTATGGAAGAATCCACACACTGTATGTTATAGAAATCCTTAGTCGGGCGACAGTAGGCCAAATCATACTCACAATAAGTAAGGTGCTACAGGACGCACAGGACTCTGGGCTGGAGAGGTTAGTAATATGTAACAGACCAGAGCAGATCCCGGGCTTAACAAGAGAGGAGGTTTTGCAGGTATATGCATACTCCTGGCCGTGGGAGCGAATGGGGAATGCTATAATGGTCCTTTGCACTGAGGGGAAACCATGTCAACCACTAGTTAAACTATATGATAAACTTATGCATAATGCAGATCAGTCTAGCTCAGAGGAGGAGGAGAGTGACACGGAAGATGGGGGACCAGTGCCTTGGCAAAAACCAAAGATTAGCCGACAAATAGTGCCATTAACGAGAGACAAACAGGCGCATAAAGTCAGGTTCCTCAGGGGGAAATGTAAAAATGCTGGGCATTTGCCAATTGAACATTTGGATACTAAGGCTTTCCCGGTAAACCAGACAGTAGACACGGACATGGGTCCAATGATAAAGTCCTTACAGGGCATCGATATGGTAGGGTATCCTTACGAGGAAAATGACTTTCCAGATTATTATAGACCAAGGCAGGAAGAAAGAGAGGCGCAGTATATGCTACCACAATGGGAGACAATTAGATCCATGCCTGGGGAGACCCAACAGAGGAAGAGATACAGAGACTAGCTAAAAAGATCAAAGAAGAAGAGGTGTTACTCACTGTAGCCACGTCTATACTGTCCCAAAAAGGTGCGACTGACTTTCAGCTATGTAAATTATTTAAGATGCTCCCCAGAGGTCTTCAGATATGCACACAGTGGGTGACTAACCCGGGAGGGGTTGAAGCTAGATCGAGTTTGTTACACGGGTGGGACCTGTTAACAGCAGCTATTAAAGAAAAAGAGCAGGATCAAAAGTCAGCAAATAACAGTCAGCCGTCAAAAAACGGGCAGCTGGGCCCGAGAGGGCCCGTGTCACAGCTAGAAAGGGCATCAACACCACGGAGGGAGCCCAGTGTGCAACAGCCCTCGACCACAAACGAACAGACCCAGGTTCAGGGCAGATATACATACGATATATATAATATATATATATATATATATATATATATATATATATATATATATATATATATATATATATATATATATAATAAATAAATAAATAATGAGATAGATAGTAGTTAAATCTACAAAATGAAGTTTTTAGTTATACAGGAAAGACGGGCACTCTGTCTAACAGGTGGTTGAAGGGGAGAAAGAGGAAGTTTAAGACGAGAGGAGGAGCAGCGGGGGAAGCATGGCCAGTGAAAACAGACACACACAACCAGACTTCTATAATTCTTCTAGATATAACCTCATGGCAGTCGTTGGCACCTGCGGGCGCTCTCACAGCGGGACTGGGGACACTACAGATGAAAACAATGACGAAAGGGTAGGAGAGAATTCTGCCTCTTATACTGATTTTATTGGCTGCCTCCATGAAAGCTAGAAAGTAAAGCTCAAATGTAATGAGCAAGGTTATGATTCTGTTTATCGCTTACTGATTACAGTCCGAACTTTTGTGTTAGCAAATAGCACGTATATAAGATTAGTTTAAATGTAGTTCTTTTGGCAGTTGTAGCTCAGTTCATAAGCACAGTCTCTCTTTTGGAGGGTTAGTGTTTCACTAAATAAATAAAATTAATATGACCAAATTGAAATCTCTTTACTGATTGGAAAAAGAGGCGCTGAAGTTGCCAAGGCAAACGTGTGCGGTACGTTAATTCTAACCGCAGAGAGAAAAAAAAAAAAAAAAAAAGGGAAATTGACTATCAAGTACAGATAAGAAAATTGATATGTGTACGTGGATATATATATATGTACATGCACGCATGTATATGTATATATATATATATGTATACATATTGGGCTGAATTTATTATTAAGCAAATTGGTTGCTGAATACTTTTGAAATTTATGTAATAGGAAGGAAGATGGATGATTGTTGTCTCTGTGTGTTATGTCCTCGGCCAAATCCAAATCAAAATGACCAAAATGTACAATCATTAGGGGAGATGCTACAAGGTTCTGCAATATCGGAAGTGGGAGAGGGTCCAAGCATAGACTTTGACCTGTGCGCTTCCGTGATGCAGTACAAATACCAAGTAAGATGTAAGACTTTAAGAGAAATCCATCGTACTCTTCCATGGCCTACTTTTTACGATAGAAGATTAAGACCGATTTTAAACAGTTCAATGAAAAGTAATCAAATTATTAAGAGGGTGTATTTTGTGCGATGGGGAGAGCATTTGGGCAAATTTGTAATTCCAGAAGAGAATTTGGACATAGAGATGCCCAATGCCTATAGAGAAAAACGACCAACTTCAGCCTTTTCCGGCACCACTCCTCCAGGAATGTCCAGAGTGGCTCTGTGGTTCTATAGTTTGGAACCCTAGAAGAGGAGGGACGTCTACTCTTCTAAAATTTTGTGATGAACATTCTGGGAGGATATTTTACACAGGAAATAGACAGGCCGTTTCCACTCTCATGATGGACTTCTCTAAAGGTCATAGCACCCAATGAAAAGTTTTGATTCTTATTTTTATTATTATTTTTGTTTTTGCTTGCTAAAATTTAGAAAACTCATATATACTCAATTTAGAGAGCAGTTTGGCACTTATATATCTGTGGTTTGATGTTAAAATATGTATTTTGTTTTGTTTTTCTTTGAGATGTATCGTGTGCAGCAAACTAGGAAGCCTCAGCCAAATGAGAGAGGGGACGAAGGGCCCAGAGGTCAACAGAGGGGGACGCCTTCATCGGCCGCAAGCGAGGTATCCAAGTATGCGAGTAGTTTGTAGAGAATTTGGCTTGCCCTATTTGGCACCCACACGCCCCTATTGGACACCTGGAGCTGCTTGGATGGGGTGTTTTACCACAACTTTGCCAAAGCACAGTGAAGTACCAAGGAATTTGTGGCTTCCAAGCTCTCCTTGGGAACTTAATGTTACTGGGGGGGAACAATTTATCAAGATCCAGTCGGAGAGGTGCATTGTCAGGAGCGAGGGTGGTAATGAACTGATTGGTTATTCTCAAATTGGGGGAACTTGGTGGCAGTGTCCCACAATGCACCCTGATTTGGCCGGGACAATATTTCAACACCCGGTAATTAAAAAACCAACGACTGATGTTTGTAATGAAGTCTGGTTGTACAAAGCCTGTAAATGGAGGTATTATGGTGGGTTCGGTGAGCCTGATTACTGTACTTCGGCACATCCAGATTATAACGGTATTATTTGGAGCGATACTCAAGCCATGCAAGAAAATTCTCCCGAACTGCTTAGCATGCTGCGGACGAGCAATTATAACTCGATTGCGGCCTATAATAGGCAATTTGGTACAGGGAATAGGCGTTACATGTTAAATGAATGCATAGTTCAATACACATGTACACAGTTAGTAAAAATAGCTAATGAGGCAATGGCTCAGATTGCCTCCCAGTGCTTTAACGGATGGGCAGCCTATTTCTGTCCAGAAATCTTCTATCCTAGAACAATGGACCCAAACCTGTTGGCGCCTGCGCGGATGGAAGAGGAGGGGCCCAAGTCAGCTGCACACAACATCCAGAACATCCCGCCCAGCACATCGTCCTGGGACACCCGCCAAAACCTTCACAGGGGGATGTCGTGAACCCCCCCTCGGCCACAGGAGAGCTCACCCGGGTGGGGTAAAAAGATGAAGGTTTTGGCGTAAATTCCATTGAAGGGCCCCTGACATTCAGATGAAGATGTTCATAATGCTTTATTTTAGTAAATGGAAAACTGTTGGAGCATTACAGATTAAGAGTGATTAATTTAGATGATAGAGGTATTTTTGTGACCTATGTTAGCCTAAGATACTTGTTTTGTTTCGTTTTAATCTGATTAGTTTCTTTTACTTTGATTTGTTTAAATTCTTTCAACTTAATTTCTAGGTTTGGGTTGTTTTGCATTAATTTTTGTAACCATTATGTTTGTGTAAGGACTTTCTGTTCTTTTGACAGTTGACCTTTATTTGACACTGATGTACGAAACCTATATGTTATGCGGCGCATGGGAGGCCTGTAAACAATGCGGGTGCGAGCTTCCTGCTCCTTCGACAAAGCGAGGTGGCAGTAACTTCACACCTGGCTGGGGGAGGACCGTTGGGGGCTAGAATGGTGAAGACTGTGGTTTCTGAAAAGTGTTGCCTGTACTTGGAAATGTGTTCTATATGTGACGTATTGATCACTTTGCATGTACCTGGGTGGAGTTCTGTGACCATAGATAAATATTGAAAATTCAGCATAATAACTCAGATCCTGATTTTGGTTGGCATTGGCCCTCCGGCTGTAACTCGGCTAAGGAGGTCAGAATCTCTAATTCGGACTAGGCTGTGCTTTATAGCTTTCCTGGTCACAGGGTAATTTCTCCAAAAGGTACTTGCAAGGTGATTTGTCCTAATTATTTTTGTATGAGCTTTCTAGTAAAATAACGGCTACAGGGTGGGTTGGTTATAAGTGCTCTGTCGTGAGCCTAAAAACCCTGAGTGACCGCGAGTATAAAGAGTGACCACCAGTCACTTTCGTGGTGCGTTAAACAATAAAAAGCAGAAAAATAAGACAAAGACACATCACTTGTTGGAATCTTTTGTTGAGTCTTTTCCCTTAATTATTATACATATATATTTACCACGAGCAAGTCAAGTCATCCTAGGTGAGTTACTTACAAAAATGCAATGTTTTTGATGCAAAGCTAAATTTGGTTAAAGGTTTTGAGGCACTGCTAAGGATAAATTAATATTTGTAATGTTTTTGGTGTAAAACTAAATCTGGTTAAATTCTTTGAGGCAC